CAGAGACATATACACAACAGTATACAGCAACAGGAAGCACAATAGAATTGTCGAGCACTGAAGTTGAAACAGAGACATATACACAACAATATACAGCAACAGAAAGAACAATAGAATTATCGAGCACTGAAGTTGAAACAGAGACATATAGACAACAGTATCCAGCAACAGGAAGCACAATAGCATTTTCAAGTTCTGAAGTTGAAAAAGAGACATATACACAACAATATACAGCATCAGAAATGCCAACAAAATTACCTACCACTGAAGTTGAAACAGAGACATATACACAACAATATACAGCAACAGGAAGCACAATAGAATTATCGAGCACTGAAGTTGAAACAGAGACATATACACAACAATATACAGCAACAGGAAGCACAATAGAATTATCGAGCACTGAAGTTGAAACAGAGACATATACACAACAGTATACAGCAACAGGAAGCACAATAGAATTATCGAGCACTGAAGTTGAAACAGAGACACATACACAACAATATACAACAACAGGAAAGCACAATAGAATTATCGAGCACTGAAGTTGAAACAGAGACATATACACAACAAGTATACAGCAACAGAAATGCCAACAGAATTACCTACCACTGAAGGTGAAACAGAGACATATACACAACAATATACTGCATCAGAAATGCCAACAGAATTACCTACCACTGAAGGTGAAACAGAGACATATACACAACAATATACAGCATCAGAAATGCCAACAGAATTACCTACCACTGAAGGTGAAACAGAGACATATACACAACAATATACTGCATCAGAAATGCCAACAGAATTACCTACCACTGAAGTTGAAACAGAGACATATACACAACAATATACAGCAACAGGAAGCACAATAGAATTATCGAGCACTGAAATTGAAACAGAGACATATGCACAACAGTATACAGCAACAGGAAGCACAATAGAATTGTCGAGCACTGAAGTTGAAACAGAGACATATACACAACAGTATACAGCAACAGAAAGCACAATAGAATTATCGAGCACTGAAGTTGAAACAGAGACATATACACAACAGTATACAGCAACAGAAAGCACAATAGAATTGTCGAGCACTGAAGTTGAAACAGAGACATATACACAACAGTATACAGCAACAGAAAGCACAATAGAATTATCGAGCACTGAAGTTGAAA